TTCAGAAACTTGTTTTCAACATTCCTCAATCAACATTCTCAACTTCTAAGAGTACTTACTACTTCAGCAAGATTAAATTCATTTTTCCCAGTGATCTCTAAGAAACTGCAACAAATACTTTTGAACAATCCAGATTTATGACATGTAATGTATTTTTCTACTAATTTCATAATTTGAATTAAAAACACAACATCACAAAATTCTGTAATGTTATTTATAAACCTGTGTTGTTTTCTATGCCTCACTTTGTTACCCTCTCAATGCCTACAGATTTTTCTTTTCGTCATTTTACCATGAACTGAAATTAAGTTTACAAGGATAGGAACTACCAAGCCTGGTCTTGTTTCAAAGATCAGTACCATATTATTTTTTTCCCTCCCTAGGCTTTTGCATTTCCTCAGCTTTCCAGGAGTTTTTAAATGTAACAGACAATTAAAAAAATAATCCTCAAGCACTTTTCCATAGTGCCTCCAGGTTTGCAGGGCTGTTTGCAGCTGTGATGTCAATGGCCTGGGGGGTAGAAGGAGAGCTGCAGATGATGCTGTAACATCGTGCAGCCCCTTCAGCACCACACAAGCCAAAGTGCACTCACAGCAGGCACAGTTGATAGGCAAGGGAGGCAGCAGAGAGATAAAGTTGTAGGGCTGACCACAGTCTCCTAAGCCCTCCTTGTGAGGCTGTGGCAGATGTATCTTATCCATACTTGCTGAAATCTTTACAATATATACATATATTTACATGTTTCCCTTCTGACCTTTTGATCAATGGATTTATTTAGATCCTCATTATTCCCCAACTGTCCACACAAGCTTTAACTTTTTCATTGCTGAAAGACATTTAACAGAGAACTATGCAGATCAGCCACTCCCTACATGAGTACATTTATAAAAACAAGTCTAAACGATCGTTATGTCCTTACAAATCCTTCTTTTTGAGCCTTCCTGTTTCTTACTGCTTTACCTTTTATTTTGCCAGACTTAACGTTAAAATGCCATTTAAGGGCATTAATTTTGTTTCAAGTATATAGAGTGTTACAACTAGGAAGAACCTGAGATAAACAGCTCCCAGATAGCTCAGCAGCAAGCTTGCAAGTTTCTCACAGCTGTATGAAAAGTAACATCTAGACATTAAGGGTCCTATAACTCTTAGGATCTTTAGGGGAACTGGGAATATCCTCGAAACTTCTCTTCCACAGTAGGATCTATGCCACTTCCTCAGCATCACTGAAGTAGCTTGGGGTGCTGCATTGTGGGGTGGGGCCTGTCTAATCTCCCAGAACAAGAAGGCCCAGCACAAACCACACTTCTTGTTCCCCCCAGCTGCCACACAAATATATTGATCAAGAACCAGCTCCTCTTCCAGATAGCACCCCTGCCTAATACACAATGCCTTACAAACATATTTATTGCTGCAAAATCTCAGTACCACAGAGGTAGGACTTGCACTGTATTCCAAGCAGATGAATCTGATGGCATTTACAAAGCCCTGTGGCAAACAGACCATGCGCTGCTTCTTACCCTTCCACAGTTTCCAACTTTTCTTCTTCCCACCTAAGCTTTGTTTGGTTGTTACAGAAGCAGAGCTCCTAGGAAAGAGCTGTTGCCTGGTGGCATAGCCTATCACTGCACATTAGTATGTTCCTCCTCAGGAAATGCATGGAAAATTTCACAGGTTTTTCAGAACCATGGCAAGGAGACTCAGGGACCAAAATCACTTGGGCTACTTGGTCTGTAATTTTACAGTATCACAGCACAGCTCATGCTGTAGTGTACAGTCAATAGAACAGCTTAAACTTAAGAGCCTTACAAACCTGATCAGAGGTGGAGAATTTGGTAAGGGGACATTAACTTGTTCAAATTCTTTTAAATAATATCACAGCATCGCCCAGCAAAGCACTGGTTAGATTCTCTCCAACCACACTTCATACTCCTAACTGGGGATGACAAGTGACTATAACTAGTACTACACTTGAGCATCCATAAAATCCAGTTTACAGGAAAACCAAAAAGAACAACAAATGTCCCCCAAATGGGAGGTACAACAATGGAGGTACATAGCATTTAGAGAACTCTGTGGGGAAGTAAATACTTTACCTGTTTCCTTGGTTTGACTCAAGTAGCTACAATCACAAGGATCTTAAAATAATAGTGTAAAAGGGTTGTTCTGCAGGTTATTGCTGAAAAATCAACACTGGAACACTTTGAAAGTTGTAATATTGTTGGAACTAGCATCTTTACACAGATGCCTTGGGAACAGCAGTAGAAAGTTCTTTCAAGTACCCCACTGTCTGGAAAGAGAGCTACAAAAATGTCAATGTTTTAACTCAGATTTTATCAGCTCTGAAAATACTGACTCAACTATTGATCTTTTAGCCTGAGCTGCTCTGAGGGAAGGTATGAAAAACCCATCTGGATTGATTTAGCTTTGGTCTCTTAAAACAAGTACCATATCTGTATACATAGTGATATATTTAGGATTACATTATAAAAGGCTACTAACTTGAAAAACAGTCCTATAACCAAGTGATATAAATACTGCTGATGCACAAGGATAAATTAAAAATCTCTAAACTAGCAATGTTTACTTGAAATTAAAAAAAAATATATGTTTAGTGATGTAATACTTAGCAGTTTTACAACTAGAAGTCTGAAGAAAACTTTTTTTCAAGCGCTCTGTCAGGTCCAGCTTCATTTACTACTTGCTGGTGTATCACTACATACGCAGCTCCAGATCAAACACTTCTCTCTGGTGATGGTATATTTTAGAATTTAAACCCCTACATATGTAGTTATAACATCTCTCTCAACACAAAGCAACACAAAGCTAGCATGACTTAAATTGTTGTTAGAGATCCAAAATAAGCCTTAAAAGCCCGGCATTACACTGCCACACTATGGTACAATTAAGATCTGCAAGCAAAAATATAACAAAAAGACAAAAGAACTCCTATGACTATTTAGGATTGCAGTATTCACCATTAGTTATGTTTGTCTACTACTTTCATAAAGCCATAGAAACATACTATTGTGCCTTGTTCAGCAACAGCCATCTAGGTAAGTTATACTTTAGTATTTTATTTTTGTAAAGTTTTTCCAAAATGAGTAAAATAAAGTTTACTTTTTACAGGTGTTAAAATACATAGGAAAGTTGATACCAAAAACATTTTTTTTTTTTTGTGTTGACAGCCAGAGAAAAGAAAGGTTCAAAGACCTTCTCCAAGATATTTTTGAGCTATTCAAGGAAATGCTACATAAGTTTTCAGAATCTACGTCTAACACATTGATCATTTCTTTATGTCAGAACATAACTCATTTTAGACCAAGAAATATTTCAAATATACTTAACATGGTAAAAATGGGGAAATTCTAAATGCTACTAAGTTTTATGAGAGCTTAAAAAGTCATATTTTTGCTGACCTTGAAGTACAGCAACACAAGAGGGCTGAAATTTCACATGTAACTTTTTAACTACAGCAGCTCACAAGTCAAGGCATACATTATTTTAATTACTTTGCCATTTATATAATTTATACCTTCCATAGCATTTATTTTGCAAGAAAGCTATAAATCAGTTTTGTATGACCATTACCAGCACTGCTTTATTCATTCTAACATTCCATTTTTTAAGTGTTTTTCTAATAAATCAAACATTTTACATAAGCAATCGGCTGAGGCCAAGACCATACCAATTATTTTACCTGCAAGAACTTGCCATTATAAACATTTCCCACAAGGCATAATAAAATACATGTCTGGTGCCACAAGACTTACAGGAATATCCTGTACTGAAGGATATTAAATAAAGATTAGATGACTAGTTGGAGTTTCATCTGTTCCACTCCTTTCTTAATTGCTATTGTCACCGCTTCAGTTTACAAAAATGGCACAGTCTGTATGCATACAGGTTCCTTCCCGTTAGGATGGCTTAGTCAAGCTTTTCAAATCCCAAATTAAGCATCTTTCATCTCCAAACACTTTCACTTACAGGAAGACATTAATGAACAGGGATTCTCTTTTCTGTTACCTGCCTCTAGCACATACATATGCATGTACTTAAATGCAATTTCTATTATTAGGCCTCTGTTTTCAATTATTGCAGTTTTCGTAATTTATTTTTTACTGCATTTACTCAGAGCACAAGCCACCAACTTACAGCTAGAATATTAACTCCTCATAATACTCAATACTTATAAACAGCAAACTGTGAACATTATAGTCTAAAAAACCACAGCTTTTAAGTTTCACTAACAAATGCAAAGGTCTGAGCATTCCTGAACAGAATCAGCCCAAATAAATTCCATCCTCACACCTGATAGAAAATCTGCAGACTATCTTCTGTAACTTGTGATTTTTGGAAGCCCTTTGGAAGGGGAGGAGTATAGCAAACTTGAGAGACACTGAGGGAAGACAATCTATGGAGAGTGCATTCTTAACTATTTCAGTGTTTTGTGGTTGCCCATGAGTTACGCTGAATTGCATGAAGAACTTAAATTCCAACTTTGCGACTCCTCCCCAAAATCCTACAACAGTCAATTTTGAAATACTGGCCTTTGACTGCACCCAAAGATTTATCAGCTGATGCTATGGCATTTCTGCTATTCAGTCCATTTTAGTTACAAAAGTCAATTTTCCATTTCCCGGCTGAAAGAAGACGTATCTTCTTCCATTAGTCACTCAGGCATCACAGCTAAGTATTTAAAATTAGATAACATTCTTTAAACCATATATTTTATTTAAATTATGAAGATTTAGCTTGAAATTGAATCGGCTACTGAAAAATGCTATTTCTTACTATCATATCTTCCCTTACAGCCCACTCTTCTGTGAAGGATACTGTATTCCATATCAGAATAATTGGAGTTCTGTCACACGGAAAAGATTGGTTATGATTAATGGCATCCTTAGCGCTGCTGAGTTATGTCTTCCTCAGAAGAATCAAAATCACGCTCCATTGTCATTCATCAGGCATCCCCTTCTAGGAAACTACAGGAAACATCATACCTTCCTGAACTTTTCCATCTGCTTATAAAGATCTGGATCCAGCTCCTGAGACACATCTTTCATCCAAAGTAGAGCTCCTCTGTATTCAGTCCGATACTGTTCCATTCGGTTCACTGTCAGCCATGTGTCTGAGATGGCCCTATATCTGAAAGTCTCCACTTCTTGATATAATCTACTCAATGGAGTACGCAGTGCTAATCTGGGGGAAGGCAGGAAGGAATGAAGAAAAGAATATATTAAAGCTGTTCCACAAAAGCACACATATTATTACAACTCCTGATACTTTGCTAGCAATCAAAAGACACACAGTTAAAAGAATTCACATAATTGCTACTCTGCCTTCAGACAGTTCTACAGGTTAGTTGCGGGAATGCATTAATGGCGTAATTTTACAAATATATTGTGCTTGCAACACTTCTGTTCAAAGAGTTACCTTTTACAGCTCCTTTCTATTACACATTAATGGAAAAGGAACTTTTACTAACGCGTATATTTTATTTAGCCAAACTGCTTGTATTTATGCTATTAAAATTCCTCTTTGTCAGTTGCATTTAACAAGTGTAAGAATATACCTGAGATAATTTATTACTGGATACATACCATTGATCCATCAGGATTGTCATGTTAAACCTCAAAAAAAAGTACTTCTATTAGCATTTAGTCTTCAAATGTACGCATAAATAAAGAAGTCATCTGTCAAGTGGATAATTATCTGTTTTTTTTTTTTTTTTTTTTTTTTTTTTTTTTTTTTCTTTTTAAAGAATCTGAACAATTCCTTTGAAGGACATTTATCTTTGGGAAAGTTTTAGGCATTTTCTTTCATGTTTGTTCCAGATACCACATTTTGGAGAGGCAGTAGGGGACACTGTTGTCTTCCCTATGCCATCACTTCAGCTCCTAACGGAATCTCAGAACTAGACAGAATTACTCCAACTTTCGCTGTTTCCTCCTGCTGCTTCTGCTTTCCTGTTTGTTGCCAGAAGCCACCTCACTGGAATGGGTTCAATCAGCTCCACATCAGTGTACAGCTAGTTTAATTTGCCACTTAGGGACTTCCTAGGCATGAGAGAATTCTTAATTTCAGCTCCGATAGCCAGCAAATTTCATCTACATGCTCTCCAGCTTGCTATTGGCATACAACATAAATAAGTGCAGTCTTGACTCCAAGATGAGCTTGGGGATGGCTCAAGAAGAGGAGGAAGACAAACAACTGGTTCTATTTTTATGGTTGGTTGTTTACAAAGATGCCTTAAAAATGCATCAAGTAAGACAGATGACAAAATGCAAACTTCTTATTGCGGCTTTTGTAGGTGCAGTGCACATTTCTTCACATTCTACAAGCAGACAACCATTTAAAGGAAAAATTCAGCTTATGTAGACAAGTCATACAGTGGGATTTCTAAATAATAATAATATGCTTTTTAAAGAAGCAAATCATTAGGGTTTTTAATGGTGCTTTACATGTATTTTGAAGATCCCACTCATAGCTTTTACTGGATGTGCTAATAACCAAAATCTAGCCCAAGATAAACATGAAATTCTCAGTGCTTGGTATGTGATGTTTTATTCTGAGCCAAACAGCTGTGCTGTTAAGCTAATTATTGCGAAACTTTCCAAATTTAAGAACCCCCCAAAATCCTGTAAAAGCATAGAATTTAATTTGTAATTTGTCATAGAATTGAATTTTACTTTCTGAATAAATGGAGAAATTCAAGGTTCCATAGTACCAATATGGAACGGAAGGGAGCCAACCAAGAAAAATTCACAAAGCCGAAAGAAACCCTTATATAGTAAAATCCATAACACCATCAAGTACTGTTGCTTCTAAACTCTTTGAATGAACACAGAGTCAGAGTGTCAAGAGCTATAGGTAAAAGCAAGAATTTATGTGGATATGAGTTCTTCTGTATTCCTTACCTTTTACCAATTTGCTCCTACTCAATCTGCATGAAGTCAGTTACAACCTAGGATCTTCTCCTGGAGGCTTTTGTGTAAGGTTAAAGCAGGAAATGGCAGACTCCTTTCTTCTCTGTCTACTTAATGCATGAGACTCTAGTCCAGAAAAAGACACTTCCTACTCTCCCAGGACCCAGACACTTTTACAACAGGCCTGCTATAGCAGCATTTCTTTTCAGAGTGTGAAATGCCATCAAGCAGGAGAGAGACCTGATATCAGCTCCTTTACTGTCCTACTGTTAGAAAGGCCATGCAGATGGCACCTGTACAGCTTTAGAAACGCTGATCAGAACAGGCATAGGTGAGGAAATCTGCAGATCAAAAGACATAGCAGATTCATGGGACAAAAACCAGGATCAGGCAAAATTACTCACAGCAAGACAGTAATATTGCCAATACTGTAGCAGGTTTGGTCGATAACAACTTTTGTATCGATTGGTTCCTCATATCTCAAATGAACTGTGGCAATGAAGAATCAACTACCATTATTCCCATGTAATCAGGTGGTAACATTGATACACATACCTTTGCTGAGAAGAAAAGCAGAGGGCCTTTCCTGTGGCTTGCATCATTTTTCCTGCTCTCGTTTTATCCTGAGAACCCTGTGATCGAAGAAATTTTCCCAATTCATTTTCTTCCTGAGACAGAACTAATGAAAAATAAATGAGTGGTCAAATGTAATTTAATAGGTTTCTGACAGTTTTAAAGCTGGCCTAATATCAAATACTTTAAATCACTCCAAATCCAAGCAGCGCAGAAAAAATAATTCCATGGAATTCCTGCATTTATATATACATTTATGTCTTCAATCAGAAATTATGATTCACTTAAGACATTTGTTGACAGGTTTGCCGTACTTAACAAGAATCACAAAATTCTGTCAGTGCTTAAAGTCAGTAGGAGAAACATGCTACTTTGCTCTCGAACAAAAAAAAGTAGCTTGGTTAGACTACATAAAGAGCCCACTTAAGGCTTGATTACAGTATCTTTTTGTCTTGTGTTTTGTTTTGTCTTTCATTATCCTGTTTTTAGCACATGGACTACCTTAGTTGATTTTAGTTAGCATACTTTTGCTGAAGCTAACTCTTAGCTATACTACCCAAAACTTTTTCAGTTGCTTTTTCTCTTGGTCTCCATTTTTCATGTTCCACTACAATATTGATTTTTTTTTTAATATGAAAAATACTATTTACAAATTCATTTTTTAAACTAGGATGCAGAAAAATAAAAGTGTTTATATATTTATATGTTGGCTACTTCCAAATTGGAACAATAAGTCTTCACGATCTCATGTCCTTACAAAAGCATTTCATTGTGGCCTCGTCTATTTGTCTTTTTAAGTGGCTGTCTCCTATGGTGCCTATTTTTTTCCCAGGCTTAATGAGGAGAATAGTGTAGTATACTGAAAAAAAAGAAGATCTTTTAAGTCCTCTTTTCATTTTAAAATGCTGACAGTCAAATCTATTGCAGTCTAATAGCACATTTTGCCAGAGTATGCACACACATCTTTGCATAAGAGATTTTACCTGCTGTTGTGTAACACTTCTTGAACTCATATTTCTATTCTGTATTACAATTTTACCTCAGTATCCTTAAACATCAGCTCAGAACCTCTTTGGACAGGCAAAAGGAAAGGGAAAGAATGGAGAAAATACGCATAAAATTCAACAAAAAGAAAGTAAATTAAAAGATACATTCATAGCTGATTCTCTTTTCCAGGACAGAAGTCACAGCATCAGAGAATCAAAAATATTGATTAGAGGGAACAATTTCTTTAGGTCATTTAATACAACCTGCTGTTTGAAACTTCCCAAGTGAGGTTCCTCTCTCTCATTAATGACTGCCACTAATTAACATCCACCTGTTGCAGCCAAGTCAGCATAATCATTTTCATCATAATCGCACAGGTTACTTAATTATAAAACTAGTAATAAGACTAATAATCTTCATTGTTAATCCCAATTAAAAAACACAGGAGTTCAGAAGAGAGCTAGAATTTCAAAAGTTCTGAATTTAGATGGGCACAGCAACTAATGGAAAAAAAAATCCCCAAAAATCAAGCTTTCTCCCATAATTGCCACTTTTCACTGCATAATATCAAATATAAAGCTTAACATAAACTAGGAGACCTTTAAGCAGTTAAACAAGTCTACATTTAATTGTCTACAGGGACTGTTACCTTTAATTTTAACTAGAAAGAAACTAGTAGTTCTCCAATTTCATTTTTACTTTTTTACATTTTAGATGATTTCATATTGCAGAGTTCCTTATCAACTACTGTATTTGTTCATACTTACAACAAATCCTTTTCTGATAAAGTCCTATTGCTTTCAGCAACTCCATACACGTTCTCTGAATAGAATGGAAGAGCTGAAATTGAAACAGAATTGAATTGAAATTGAAACAAAAAAATAAGTGTATGTAAGAAACGGTGAAGACTAAGACACAAGAAAGAGCTTGTCTTTATTTTTGTAGAAATTATTAGGGATCACCATTTCCTGCTTGAACACAGAGTAATCTTTCAAGCTTGAAAGTGTTTTTTTCTTTATTAATTGTGCTTTTCTTTCAATCAAGTTGTCCACTGAAACTACAGACAGACAACCCAAACATAAAGATAAACAAAGACAAAATAATTTTGGAAACAGATCTATTCCAAACAGTTCACAGTTAACCAAAATACTCTTTTCTTTTTCTTTTTTTTTTTTAAATTATCTTTTGATACATACAAAGATGCATAAATCTTTGATTCTGAACATCCCTCAATGGAACAAAAGGCTGTCAGTAGTTTCAATGACATGTGATCAGCAGCAATATGTATACTGAATTTTTAATACCACAAAATCTAGTGCAAGAGACTTGTATGGGTATGCCAACAGGAAGGTTTTTGATTTTAAAATGGACTTTTTACTGTCACAGCTCTGGTACTCTAACCAAATTGACAGAGTAGCAGTTTCCAAAGAAAGTAGAGGAAAAAAAGTCACTTTTGACTAAGTTTGGAGAATTAAGAGGAAAACAGAAATTACTACTTTCTTTCTGCTCACCTAAAACCTCTAGACTGTAATTTAAACCTCAACTCCACTATATCAAGTACCATGAAAATATTAGTAAAATGGACTGCTAGTAACTGTCATCCTTTTGCATCTGCTTAACCTCCTGTATGTTTACTAGGATCTTGTCTTTTCAAGAGAGAACATGACTTGCAGTTTTGAAACTGTTCAAGTGAAAACATGTTTGCATTTTCTATCTGGTAAACACAGATCACCCTATTTTTAATCCCACATGAAGTAACAAAGCATCCTTCCTGATTAATCTGCCACACAACAAGCACAATAGGGAATCAGGCATATATTTATAAAATACTATTTCAGTTTCTTCAGCTTGTTTAACACCAATACTTTTGACTTAAAATCTATCATGAAGGCCACACACATAGTTAGAATCTAAGTTTTATAAGTTGTCTTTACAATAGGTAGACTACAAAGATTTGATTGTTGTAAAAATGCCTCTTGTATTTCAGCTCAAATCTGTATGAAACCGAGATTCCTAAGTCAACAATTTCCTAAGAAAAATAGTGACAAAATATTCACCCTTATGTAACAAAATGATAAAAGTAAAATTTAGCTAGATGCTAACTTTGGAAGTCCATTCTCTGTCTTTTGATTTGTGTCAAAGACGTTTAAGCTCTTCAGTTTGTAGAACCTTAATTCTTTTCCAGTGGGGCTGAGGGTACTGACAGTAGGACTGTAGATATGACCCAGTAGGATTTCTTCTCTCAGTCACACTTCACAGACTTTCAGAAGCTGCCTTTGGTCATGTCAAAAACATGAATCTGCACAAAAGCCTCAGAGAGCAGACTGCAATGTGCATCTATTTCTTCTTTGCATACTCCATATTTTTATGGTCTATGCTACGATATGGCATTTCATAGTTATAAAAAAGAACATCATTTATGTATACTAGAGTCTAGTATTTAAAAAAATGATTTAAACTGATACAAGGAAAGGATATGGATAGCTAATACAAAGGGTGATGTCCTGCTCCCCCTGACACCAAAAAAGAAAAAACTGCCTGAAAGGAGGTAAGAGAAATGTTAAGTTCTGAATAAAGTCTTGTGTTACAAAACTTCCACTAGACTCCCTGCATCTGCATAAGTATATTTGTCCGAAATTAGAAAGGATATTACACAAAAGCAATGATAAATTTTATATATGTTATTATCTGGTATCTATACGTACACATCTTAGCAGCTTTATGGAAATGAAAACATTTTAAGAGTTATCAGAGAACACACGTTACGTAGACATTACAAACCTCTAGCTTTGCATCCAGATCTGCATCTGAAGCCACAACATGTTCATCTTCTTTTTTTCCTGTGACTTTTATAAGGGTTTGTTTTGTTTTCCAGTACTTCTGTTGCATTTTATTGACCACAGATTTTTCTTGGCTTTGAGCATATTGATCATAAAATTCCCTTGGATAATTACTAAAATATTAAGGAAGAAAATTACAAAATGTCAATAGGATACTTAAAAATAAGACTAACAAGCTAGATTAATACACCCCTATTGGGAATACTGCATTTACATGCAGACACGTGTTCTAGTATGTATTTCCTCATTATGCATTCGTAACAAACCATTAAAATAGTAATATATTTCCACTAACATTTCCCATCCTCCTTCGGAGAATACTACATTGCATATAACATGAATGTATTTAGTGTGTAGTACTTCCAAAGCATCAACTGCAAAGAATTCTTTCCAATGCATTATGGAATGATTTACAGCTCCTGGAATTAAAACTTTATTTTTATATAGCTACTAGGAAAGTTTAAAGAGCGCTAGTAGAATTGCTTAAGCAGACAGCAATTTTCATGCAATTTTAGTACTGTCAGGATTTCACAAAGTACATTTTTTATGAATGAAATTAGACTACTCACTGACTTTTTTTTTTTAATTGAATAAAAAAAGAGAATACTTATCTCTTTTGAGCACACTATGTACAAGATAGCCCATTTCTTTCACTGTGCAATCACCAAGTGATAAATGTAGGTGCAAAACAGAGATTTGTCAAGTACAATCTGCCATTAGTGAAGCCACGCTGGCTGTCACCCATTACCTCCCTATTTTCCATGTGCCTTCGCAAAGTTTCTAGGCGGATCTACTCCATGATCTTGCTGGGCACAGAGTTGAGATTTACTGGCCTGTAGTTCCCTGGGTCTTCCTTTATTCTCCTTTTTAAAAATGGGGGTTATGTTTGCCCTCTTCTAGTCAGCGGGAACTTCACCGGACGGCCACGAATTCTCAAATATGATGGAAAGTGGCTTAGCAACTACATCTGCCATTTAGCTCAGGAGACGTGGATGTTATCTTGTCAGGTCCCATGGACTTGTGCACCTTTAGGATTCCTTACCTAGTCTTGAACCTTATCTTCTCCTAAAGTGGTCAGTTCTTTCTTCCAGTCCCTGCCTTTGCCTTCTGTGGCCCAGGCTAAGTGTCTGAAACTCTTGCTGGTGAAGACTGAGCCTTCTTCATATCCTGGGTAACTAGGTCTCCCGTTTCCTTCTGGAGAGGGCCTACAATTTCCCTAGTTTTCCTTTTATCACTGTTGTACCTACAGAAACTTTTCTTGTTACCTTTGATGTCCCTGGCCAAATTTAATTGTAATAGAAGTTTGGCTTTCCTAACCTGATCCTTGGCTGCTTGGATGATTTCTCTGTACTCCTCCCAGGTTATCTGTTTTTTCTTCGACCCTCCAATCCTGTATGCTTCCCTTTTTGGTTTGAGTTTGGCCAGGAGCTCCCTGTTCATCCCTGCAGGCCTCCCTCCGGGCATTTTTGCCTGACCCTTTGTTGGGATGCATCACTCCTGAGCTTGGAAAGAGATGATCCTTGAACACTAACCAGCTTTCTTGGGCCTCTCTTCCCGCTAGGGCTTTGTTCCACAGTATTCTACCAAGCAGATCCCTGCAGAGGCCAAAGTCTGCTCTCCCAAAGTCCAGGGTAGCAAGCTTGCCATGCTGCCTCCTCACTGCCCTCGGGATCCTAAACTGCACCACTTCATGGTCACTGCAGCCAAGGCTGCCCTTGAGATTCACACTCCCCATGAAGGAGCTCCATGTGCTCCAGCTGCACATTGACACAGAGGGTGACGATCCCTCCTCATCTTCCCTTCACCAGCTTGGCAAGCCTATGACCAAAGATGCTCTTCCTCTTCTCCAACAGGTAGAGCTCATCAGCCCCCAGCAGACCAAAGCTCTCAAAGCCAGTTCCATGGTCCAGGTAGCCAAACCCCTGTCTGTGGCACCAGTCCTGTAACCATCCATTGATTTGACACTTTCCACTTGCCTTTTCAGTCCCCTTCCCTTTGACCAGGAGGACTCATGAAAAAACTACCTGTGCTCACGAGTCCTTTACTGCTGTTCCCAGGGCTCTGTAATCCCTCTTGATACCCCTCAGACTGCTCCTGGTTGCATCACTGGTGCCCAGTACAAGGCTTGGCAGTCTCCAGGTGACATCCTTGATACAAGCCCCTGGTAAGCAGCTGACTTCCTTCAACAGTGGATCAGGCTGGCAAAAGGATGCTTCTGTACCTTTCAGAAGAGAGCCCCTTACCTGTCACCTGTCATTTTTTCTCAGTTTCACCAGTTGTTATGCTGGGAGCAGATCGGGCTGCCTAACTCAGCTCACTCCACCTCACCCCCTGCAACAGGTCTTTCCTTTTTGGCCAGTACATTCCACAATATTTAAACCATATGAATAGAAATTACAGTTTCACAATGAAATCTTGATCTCTTTCAGTAATAGTTATTCCACTATTAATTTCCCTTGTGTGTATAAATTAAGATATTCAAAATCACTGCAGCTTTTTTTGGAAATACATGGTTGCTTAAATTTATATTAAATAGTCCAAGAAAATGAAAGTGGTTGAATTTATTTTTCAAGTAAAGATACTCTTTATCTGTTTTACATTACTGAGATACTGCTCACTAGCTCAATTCACACAACACATGGGTAACTCACTGATGCTACCCCAAAGAGTCCTCAGACTCAACATACACATCAAGTCATGCAGAGAGACATAGAGATATATAAACTTGCTGTGAAATATTTCAGATGTTCTGAAAGCCATTGGCACACATATTCACCAAGAGAGGCAGCTCTCCCCTGTGCAGTTACTAATGACACAATTCATCCTGAAAAGAAAATCTGCTTGACAGGGGTTTGTTACTTGCTTTGGTTATTTCTAATCAATGAGTTAGGAGACAGTGACTTAAATCACCAAAGAGATGGTAAGAAATTGAAGTGGAAATGAGCAAAGACAAAAGTCAAAATGCACATATATACAGCACTTCCTGGCTTCTTCCCCAAACTTTAAAAGAAAAGGTATTCACCCATTTAATTTTACCAAAGCATCAGTCCACAGTCCTTAGTTTATGAATTTCATTAAGCTTAGAATAAGACACTTTTTTGGTGCCACGGCACAAAATAAACAACACTTGCAAAACATATCACATTTCACATGCAGCTTTGCACAAACAAGACATTACACATCCCCTGACAACTCCAGCCTATCAAGTTAAGCAAAGCCTGTATTGACCTGACTGGCTGTACCTCTAATAAATTAGGAGAACATTTAGATACCTCCCAAATCCCCCTGCATTATGAGAAAGCAGAATATGAGAGCTTAACTAATAAAACTAACATTACTTTTAAAAGAAAATAAATAAATAAAATCAAATTGATCACGTGGCAGTATTAAGACCCTAGCTATCTGGCTAGCTGTGTGCTTTAACTTGTGCTACAGCTGTGCAAATAACTGATATCTCAGTTCAGTGATCAAATGAAGAAAACACCGTAATTCATTTGCTGTCAACCAGCCTTAATAGCTACCTTGCTTGAGGTCACCAGAAATTCTAGGGACTGGGTGGAAAAAATAAAAATGAGTCATTAATGTGAGGTCACAAAAAAGTCCTGGGATTAATAGAGATTTCTGAATTAGACACAGATAAACAAACTGGGAGAGTATGAAGAATACAATCTTTTACCACTACGGACAAATTCAACTTTTAATTTCATTTGGAGAAATTTCTGGCTCCTGTTTATGTCTAATGTGCTTATAAATAATTATCTTAATGAAATATTTGGTGAACAATTTTTCTGGAGGTTTAAAGGTCCTTGTCAATACCTTTAAAAATGGATTTTGTCAAGCAGTCATAGATATATTTAAATTTTACTAAAAAAAACAAAAATATAACTAAAAGAAGGATCTACTTTATTCTAACGCTGATGATCACAGATAAATCCATTGAAATGAGACACTCATACAATTTTTGCCATTATGCAGAAAATTGATAACATATGCTATTTTCCCATCTCATCAATTCACTTGTTTTTCCATTCTTTGATAAGTTGGCAGTTTTCCACTTTCTATTTTTATTCTTTTTAAACAGAACATCTACCAGTGACTTCATATAAATACTAGATGCCAGAACATAATGCATGATTATGCAGTCACAAATCAACACGCCAAACACCATTAACTCTTTAGAATAATAAATGACCAAGGTACTTACTACTTATGACCTTCCATGTTTCTTATTTTCTTCAGACACTTAAATAAAATAAGAAATTATCAGTTAATATAAACATCTTTAAAATATAATTCTCAATTTAGACAACAGAAAAACTCCTGCCTTTTCACATATAAAAATTACCATACTTTATCGTCTTGTATATGTTACAAAAGAAATTTTTTCCATCTGTAGACCAAATGCTTTTCTCATATAACATACAATTCTCACTTAAATCCATGACAAACACATTTAAGTGGTGTTGCTGATTTTTTGTATTTTAGCAAGTTTTCCTGTTGTAAATTCAGTGATTTTTGACAAGGCAAGCCCAAAGTGTACATGCTAGGAATAATCTAGGAATAATCCCCAGTCAAGTGTGTTTTTCTTTTTCTTTGTTTTTTAAACCAGAATTTTAACCACAACCTAGTTCAGCTACTCTTTTCACCAATGTCTCATTGATCCACTTTTCAAAAGCATTAGCTACTTTATGTCTTGAGCAATAGATGCAAAATTTAACCACCAGTTGTTTTTTTCTCAGAGGGACATCGCAGTTCCTGTGAATGGAATATGATTTGCATGTGTTTGGACTTTAAATTTTAAAAGTTAATATCTCCAGTTTTGATACACAATGAGCTGACCAGATGGTGCACACATCACCAGCAATTGAGCACACTCCTTCCAGGCCAAATTTACTAGTCAAGCCAGACACTCATTGCAAAAAACCAAGCACCTGGCTTCTCCTCTGCTGCTTTCAGAAAGGACTCTCTGGCACTAATCTTGGAGAGAAAAAAGGGGCTGCAATGGGGAGCCATGGCTCTGGCAACACGTCTAACAAGGTGCTGCCTAAAGACAGTATGGCAAACACTGGATGGTAATGGGACTGGAACAGATTGCAGGGACTCGGACAAGGCAATGCAAACCTGAGTGCTTCCTGCAACTGTGAAGCACATACACTTCCATTTACAGCCAATTGAAGCCAAATCCCAGGTTTTGGATTCTAGCCTCTCTGCTCTCTGTACCTGTGAAACTTCCTGGCAAAGTTCCATGAGATGCTGGAAGATTTTATCAGAGCAGGACACTTTCCTGAAATGGAATTTTTGTGAAGAGCTCATATGCACTGCAGAAGAGATCATAAGTAAATTCATAACCCTGTCTTCAGCAGCATTTAATTGTAAGGCCAACAGCCAAATAATGAAGAGGAAGAACTGCTTTGGATTGCTGTTTGCATTACAGCACTGTCATGTCAGACAATATGCAGAATGGAGAGCAACAGCCACAGCTTTGCTTTAATTTCTAGAGCCATGAGGCACAGACAACGTTAACTCCAGTTTTCTAATACCTATGTGCTTGACTTCATTGTTTTAATACAGGTTCTGCTTAAGTCAACAGTGGGTGTGTGCGAGAGATAAGAACACAGGATTTGGCTTGTATGCACATCCATGACTCAGTTATTGAGCAGAATGCTTGGCTTGACAGGAAGCAAAGAACAGCCCATCTAGGTGAAATAATGTGTATTATGTGGAACAAAGTGTAGCTCAGCAAGGGGAACAGGTCTTAGGCACTGACCTTAAACACTGTACACGTTCACCTGACTCTCCTGGAAACCAATGTCCCTAAAAAAAGAAGACATAAGGGTCATGGTGACATAGAGTTCTCATCTTGCCTGCATAACTCACATTCTTTTTTCCTATAACTATAATTGACTATGGGGTCTTCTTAGTTATACTCCTTTGAGACCTACATAGTGCCCCCCCCCCATGCCCACAGGATACTCTTTGTGTTTTTTTTTGTTTGTTTTTTTTTTTTTTTTAATTCAGAGCACCTGTGAGGACTGTGTCACAGTTATTAGGATAGTGTTTTCATGGTATGAAAATGAGGGTATGCTCTCCTGGCCCTGCTGTGTGACATGAAGGCACATGAGGTGTTTGAGGCCAAAAGGCTACTGAGATAGTGCTGTATGGCTTTACAGGGTGGAAGGAAACAGAATTAGAATCTTACCCATATTATCTACTGGATATGCCTCCTGGCATGCCATATCCCCCAGAACATGCCAAGAAACAGAGGGTCCCAGAGAACTGTAGGTGGTATAGACAAAAACCACTCTAGGGAGATTACAGCAATTAAACAGCAGGAACAAGAAACAGCCCAGTGCTCAAGCTTAGTCCCTGGACCCCTTTTATTACCCATACAGAATTAGCTTTTGGTCCTAAATGAGAATTCAGGTTGTACAAAGACGGCTCAGTGAGCACTGGCACTGAATAAACAGAACTGTGGTTACTTGAAAAGAATAAGATACCATAAGCGTTGGCAAAAGCCATATCACCTGCAATTTCCATCATGAAGAGTTCCTGGATCCCATTCATTCCAGATGCTGTTCAAAGAACTTTCATAATGAAACCAGTTATGCCTCTGAAGTCCCAGATGAGTTTCACCTTTCTTACTGACTGAGAATGCTCTGAAAAACCTGAATGCCCACTACTATTATGCCATTTTTAGCTGTTAATTTAGACCACAAAAGTGCACTCAGTTTGGGTCCCACTGGTTTCAGTGGTACCCTAAATGATTCCATTCACACAAAACTTGTTTCAAGTTAGATACACTTGTGTGATATTTATAGTACTGTATACTAATTTACATTTCATGTTTCAGCATTATAGTTAAGCTCGACTGAAATGGAAACAGTATTTATTAATGTAGACATTAAAATCAGAATCAAGGGTAGAGGGAAATGTAATATAGGAATACTTACTTGAGCTGGATGTAGCAGATGTGCTATTAAAGGACTTCTCATGTTTGTATCTGAGAGCAACCGCAAATGTATGAATTTTTAGCTTTTGATTTTAGGATTTTCTTTTAAGAAACACAGTCTTACTAATTATGTTTATCCTAAACTGGTCTTTCAGTTCAGGAGGAGCTCAGGACACCTGTGTGATCTTTGAAATCAGCTTTCTCAAAGAACATGACCTCCCCATTTCAATGCACAGAAAATTGAGCACCTATGGCAGAAAGCCAGCATTGATGGATTTGTGACTGAACTCAAATGCAAAACAAACGCGTAGGGACAGAGGCATGGTCAGGTTACTCAAGAGAATACAAAAGTATTACCAGAGTATGTAGGGATGGAGTTAGGAAAGCCAAAGCTGTGCTCTGGAGTTGAAACTAGGACCAGACACAAAGAGCAACAAGAACGGCTCTATACAGATAGTGGCACCAAAAGAAAGGCTACGGAAGGCACAGGCCCACTGTGACAGAGAATATGGAAAGGCAGACTTGCATTTTTGGTGTGTTTTTCACTGGGAGATCTGCCCTTTAGCATTCTAGTTCTCAAAGCCTACTGGTCAGGGTATGGGGGTATGAAGCATTAACCACACTAGAGAAAGACTCAGTCAGGAGGTATGTAGGGCATTGGGATGTACACAGATTCAAGAAACCAGATAAGATGGATCTGCGGGTGCTGAGGGAGCTGGCTGATATAATTGTTTGGATGTTCTCCCTGTTCTCTTGGAGGTTATGTTGATCAGAGGAGATGCCTCGAGTGAGACAAACATCACACCTATCTTCAAGAAGCACAGAAAAGAGCATCAGGAAAACTTCAGGCCCATCAACCTCACTTCAGTTCCTAGAAAGATCTTGGAGAAGTCCTTCCTGGAAACTATTCCCAGCCCCATGAAAGAAGAGAAGGAAAGAGGGAACAGCCAGCATAGATCTACATGGATTTAAGTCACTCCTAAGCTGACTGCCTTCAATGAGGTGACTGCCTCTGGTGAGTGAGTGAAGGGAGAGCAGGGGATGTTGCGTGCTGATGTTAGCAATGCCTTTGTCATGGTGTCCCACAGAAACCTTACAGGTTCTTATCATACCTATGTGATTCTGTGACAACTTGTACAATGTAAAATACTAGGCTGGTGAGCAACAGTTCGCTGCTACCTTTGGTTTAATGCATAAAACTTTCCTTAAAAACATGCTGTAAACGGACAGTGGAATGACATTGTACCATGACCACTGGTGACACACATACAAAAATAGTACTGAATGTTTGCCTTCAAAGAGTTACCTACAACACATTAAGCTTTTAGTTGTATTATTTTCATTCACATCCAAAACTTTGAAGATTAACATTTTTCATTTCTTTAGATATCACTACACACACAGCGTGAATTGTTCCTGTAGTCATTTAAAAGGGCCATAATTTTTTTATTTTTGGAATAGTCTAACTTCACGTGCTACTACTGCCTATTCCAAGTCCGGGAACAAAAGAGGGTTAAGATATTGGTTCAGCTGTAACAAAGGAGATTATTGAAAGCATCTGGCACAGCTGAAAGCAGTGAGCTTTTTTTTTTTTTTTTTTTTTTTTTAAAGAAAACCCAAAGTCGTAAGTCTAGCCGCAAAAAGTGAGAGATGCTAATAAACAGGGACTGGAAACAGGCCAACAAAGTATCAAGGAATTAAAAGGAAACTTCATAACCACATAACAAAGCAACCCCACAGTCAGGAAAGGCAGACCCTGAGGCTGCAGAAAGACATGAATGAATGAGCACACAACCTTCAACTACTTTAGGTTTTAAACTCTTATGCTTTCAAAGAATAATGCCCGAATATCCTGGACAGAAGTAACAAGAGTTGCTCTTTGCCAGAGCTGACTACAATAGAAAACACATGACACTGACTGAAGCCCACCAATACCTGACCTGAAAACTGCAGTCAAACTTAAAATTAACCTTTTATCATAGAATTTTACATATAAAACTAAGCTTAATTTGCCAGAGGTGAGTTGATGTGAAAGGATTATTTTTTTCCTGTTCCCTTTTTCCTCCCAATGTATTAAGACTAAAAGATGTTTCAAGAAATAATGTTACACTGACACTGACTGAAAAAAAAAATAGCATCCACCACCTCACTGGAAAACATTTCTATCAGAAAGTTTCCATTAGCTTTGTCAGAGATCACTTGTGCATGTTGCGTCATTCTTTATCATAAGCCTTTATCTTGACTAACAAAAGGTAGGGATAATCTAGATAATATGGAAAAAAAAAAAAAAAGAGACAGCAAACATAGGTGCTGTGGAGCCTGTTAGGGAAAACAGCGTCACGCTACAGCTGACTGTACACAAACCCATGGTTATAGCTGTGTAGCAGTGGATCTGAAGTTGTCTGGGTATGTCCACACGCTGCTAGTTCTCCACGTGCTTTCCAGTGTTTTGAGACAGATGCTACCTCAGTTTCAGCTTTAAACCTGAGCTGGCCCTATCATAACAAGCCTACCTGGAAGACATGGATCACAGTGCTAAGATACCCATTTCCACGTGGCACCAGCTGGGCCCATTAGCTCTGCTGTCCCCCTGGAAATCCCTGTCTGGCCCTCTGAGGAGCAGCTGAGAAGCCTCAGCACCATGTTTGACAAACCTCCCTGTGTGCAGACAGATACCAGACAGGCCTACATGCAACCAGCTTGGGTCTGGCACAGTCATTGGCCTGGACCCTGAATTACAACCAGTCTTTCACGACTCAGTTTGGCTTCAGAAGGAGGACAGCTGCACTCATCAGCGCTCTGCCAGAGCTAACAAGACATGCTGGAATCAACATGGCCCTGCACATGGCCAGCGAGGGCACCTTCGCATCTGTGGCAGTTTATCTGGTTTGTGGGCTACTTATCCACAAATTATTTCCACAAGTAGGCATAATAGCTGGAATGCTACAGGACTTGATAGTATTTCTGGCATACTGATTCATCCTGCTTTCAGATCAGGAACTTTTAGTAGCCATGATGCTCGAAGGAGGCTTGATAGAGAATATCTTCATTAGCCAATGCACCTCTACTCCACTGTGACTACAGAAAATCCTCTGATTCTCTGCACCCCTCCAAAACCATCTGAATACACCATCAACATCCTCCTGTGCAAACAAGGAAAATGCTAGCTTGGTGTTTTGAATAATTAAACACTGCAAGCAGTTCCCTAGGCTTTCCTTCCAGCTCATCCTCTGTATGACGTTCATACTTCCTTGCTCCTCTTTTTTAGCTTTATTATATTATAGTTTGTTGCAGCATAAGTTGTCTGGTTTCCCAAGAGCTGAACAACATTATCTGTGTATTAATGTCACTCGGATATATTTAATGTTCATTGGAAAAGAAATAATAAGTGTCATGTAGCAGAGTGAAATTCTGATCTTAATGCCCTCCTAGTTACTGGAAAGAAATAATTATAAATATATATTTTCCCCTCGTTCAAGTATCTGTTGTTGACTGAGCATTACACTAATACGAGTAGCCAGCAGATCCCATAGAAGAAAGCAGGACTTGGCAAACAAGAATCTTTCATCCATGGAAATTACATCTAAAACAAACTGTTGATCCAATCACATCTTAGAACGATGAGGTAAGCCAAAATCCTTGCAAAGCTTTTATAGATGCTGAAGATAAAATGTAGCATCCAAAGATGACCTACCATAGTTACATAGGAAAGTAGTAAATTGAATTCTTCTGAGATGCATTCAGAAGCAACAAAAGGGAACAGAACGAGAGGCAGAGCAGAATTCAGCAAGTCTGATGGGAAAGTAATGTGTTTATCAAAAAAGACAGATGGATTTGCATTTTCACTGATAGTTAGCACTATCAT